TCAGCATCATGAGAATTTAGGGATCTGAGACTCACCTGGGTGTGATGGTGACCTGCCAACAGAGGCTCTCAGCTGGGACCTGCTTTTGGATCCCAACAGCTTTTAGGGAAAGGACAAGAGGTAGAAGAAAAGTGACAGCAAGAAGCAAATAATTTAGAAATAAAATATGTAACACTGTAGTAAATGAACTGACAGTGTGGGTGGGATTGGAAAACAAAGACCACACCCCTTATGTCTTCAGGTGGTGGTTTGGATCCTGCCTTCAGTAATATTTTAATCAACAGGAGCTGAGATCTTTTTTACCACTCATGGTTGGTGAGATCTGTTCTAAGCCTCCGTTGCGAGTCTCTAATTTGATTTGTCTGGATGGAATGGAATGAACTGGCTGACTTTCCTCATCACAAGGATGTTTCCTGACACACACAAGCGTGGGGTCTAATTTGAGAGCGTGCAAGGCTGGAAAACAGACCTGGGAGTGGAGTGGGATCTCACCAGAAATGGGAATCCACAGTCAAAGCTTTAGGAAGAGGAATCAGAGCTGTTATTCTGAGTTTCACTCCATTTCCAGGACAGGGACTGTAATATTAAGCCTGCTACTGCATTTCCTGCAGGCTGGTTGCTAGAAATTCAATCCCTCAAGGTTTTGACCGACATATAAAAATGATTGTGTTGACTGTGCTTCTAATATTCCAGTGTTAGAAATGAGTCACCTGGCTGGGAACACCTGGTAACTGGAGACATCTGCACATAGTTGCACCCCAAGCTGACATGGGGAAGATGGATTTCTCTGGACCAGAGAGGAGAGCAATTCTCACAGCCTGGCTCAGGGGTGATGACTTGTTCCGAGGGACAAATCCCAGCTGTGCTATTCGTACTGGAAGTGACATCAAGCTTATTTATATGAGCAAAACAAACAGAACCCACTGGTACATGACAGAAGGATTATTTGCTTTATGACTCAGACCCAGGGTCTGCCAGGTTTGAAAGAAATTGGAGTGTACACAGATTATTTTTTTCTATTTGAGTAAAAGAGAGAGAAAGAGAGAGGAGAATTCCTCCTCTGTGGGCACTGCCAGGCTGACATTCAATGTGTTCTCCCTCAAAACAGCTTCATATTTTAATCACTACCCTAATATCTGTATTCCACCCTTCATGGAAATCTACAAAGCACATTATCTTTGTCCTGTATTTCTGTTTTAATTGTACTTTTGATTTTTAATTAAAATGCACCCCTCAGTTTCCCACCCAGCTGTTCTTGCAGTCTGCAGAAGAATGGTCACTAGGAACCCTCCAGTCCACACAGGATGGAAGGCTCCCCTCTCTTTCCCTCCTTCCAAGGGCAATACAGATGAAGGGATAATCCAGTGGACTAAATCAGCTCCCAGTCTGTATTGCCCTTGCTCCAGTGGATATTGGTTGGTGCTCTCTTTAAACACAAAATGAAAACTGGAAAGAGAGAGAAAGTCATGAATTGGTTCCTAATTTTGAGCTTTGGAGTGGGATACATAAAAATGGCAAAGCACTTAATTGAGGTTGTTTTTTTCAACTTGGAATGCTCCCACTGCAGAACAATATCATGGCACAAAGACCTACAAACACACACAGGGACTCTGACTTTTTCTTCTCTGTTTTTCTGAAATGTCAGGAATCCACCTCTCAGAGATTTCCTACTCACCCCATTTCTACATGAGTTGCAATCACATTGACAGTATTTTCAGTAGAAACAACCAGTGTCACATTTTTCATCTTAATTTGGGAAAGAGGGCTTTATTTATTTCTTGTAGACTCCTTTCAAATCTTTCATAGCAATGTTTTTTTCTCCAATTAATAAGAAAGCCTTTTTGCAACGTTTTGCAAAGCTGTTTCATTAGAACTGCAGGGCAATTGCTGAATCTCAGCAACTTAGAGTGAGAACAAACTATTCAGCTTCTGCTGACAAAAAAAAAAATAATGGATAAATTGATTTTCACCCAGAAATCTTCACTGGAGTCTCTCTCCAACTGTGGCCAGCCACAGCTGATGTAACGTTTCTCCTCCAAAGTGGCTGTTTTGTTTCACCTTTCATACATGTAAAGAGGCAACTTGCCTAAAAAAAATCACGTTCTCTAAAAAACACAGCACATGCATTTTCATTTGGATGTGCAGGAAGGTGCTATTGCATAAGATATTTAGGGCAGCAAGCAGCAGGGAGAGGCACAGCATTTATATTTTAATTAGCTCATGCCAGGAGTTTCTTCAGAGGTTACTAAATTACTATTTGTCCACCTACATTATTAAAATCTTGTGTCTTTCCACTTCAAGGACTCTTTGTACTTCCTGAGAACTGTGTTGCTGCGATTGCATATTGTTCTTAAATAATGTTCTTAAATAATCCCAAGCGATAATTTTATGAATCCTTTCCGTGCCAATTGTAATAATGGAACTTTAGCAATTAAAAGATAAAAATTCTAGGAAAGCACTATTTTAAACACAAAAAAGCCCTCCAGAGCTGGTTTGATTTAATAAATATTCGTCATGTGTGGGTTTCTTAAACACATTTTTAGCAATTGTGTTCTTTTCTCAAAATAATTTCTCAAATTGTCCTGCTCTATGAAAAAAGCCCATTGTTTTATCTATTTCACATCACACTGATGATGTTAACAAAGACAAATATTTTTGCATAAATACATACCTCTGAGGTTTTTTTTTGCTACAGCAAGAACACATTAGAATCTTGAGAAATCTCTTATTTCTGGAAGCATTTATATACTAAAGGAATGCGACCTCTTTGAAATAAACTGGTGGTGTGGCCACTTCTGAGGTACTTCAGTGCCACAGGTGTTGCACAGAAACACAATTCCAATTCCAATAAGGCAATGGAATTGGAAAACCTTCCTAGAAATGCAGTAATTTGGCAAAGGGTTTCTAATGTTTGGTTGGTTTTTTTTCTGGTATTGATTTATTGCCATCCATTTTCCGGTGCTGGGGAGACACAACCACCACGAGACTATCCAACATTTCCTTGCTGCTTTGCTCCTGAAGGATTCATGCCCCTGCCAGTGCCAGTCTAGACCCTGCTGGCAGCTCCATGAACAAAAGGAAGGGTTCTGGTAGAGATCAACTTATTTTTCTGCAGCAAGACACTTCTCAGAAGTGACAGCCATGCAACACTGAGGCTGCTCACAATATGTAGTTTTCTACTGAAAACAAGCTGGAACATTAATGAGATATTAATGTCAGCTATGGGTGTGAGCCTACAACATTCTCCCACTGGAGCAACACTCACTCAAGCAATCAGATTCACTGAAGTTGCTTCATTAAGACTGAATTCAAGTCAAACCTTCCCTTTCAACTATTGTTGCAATTCTGCTGCACAAAGGTAAAAAGAGTTTGCAAAGTTTTGCCCCGGTTTTATTGCCAAAAGAGCTCAGTGCTTTGGGATTCTTTTCCTGTTAGAGAGTTACTGAAGTGTTGCAAAGCCTGAGAATATGTTTTCTTCTTACTTTTAAATTGGAGAGCACAGGGGCATAGAGCCGTTTAAGTTGGGAAAGCCCTCTAAGATCAAGTCCAACTGTTCACACCAAGGTCTCCACTAAACCACGTCCCAGACTGCTCCATCCACAGTCTTTTAAATCCCTCCAGGGATGGTGACTCAGCCACTTCCCCGGGCAGACTGTTCCAGAGCTTGACAACCCTTTCAGTGAAGAGATTTTTCCCTATATCCAATTTAAATCTCCCCCGGCACAGCTTGACTCTGTTTTCTCTTGTCCTGTCACTTGTTACCTGGGAGAAGAGACTGATTCCCCCCCGGCTCCCCCCTCCTGTCAGGGAGTTGCAGAGCCAGAAGGTCCTCCCTGAGCCTCCTTTTCTCCAGGCTGAGCCCCTCCAGCTCCCTCAGCTGCTCCTGCTGCTCCAGCCCCTTCCCCAGCTCTGTTGCCCTTCTCTGGACTCACTCCAGCCCCTCAATGTCTTCCTTGGAGTGAGGGGCCCAAAACTGAACCCAAGTCTCAAGGTGTGGCCTCACAGTGCCCAGCACAGGGGGATAATCTCTTCCCTAGTCCTTTACAGCAAAGAGCTCCAAATCCTGAAATGGATGCTTTAACACACGATTACCTTCCTAAATTAAAAATAATGTATTCCTGGCAAGAATCTCACCCCAGGTAACTCACAGCCTAGGCTTTATTGCCCCAGAGTCACTGGTCATGATTGTAGCTGCACAACAGTCATGAGTCAGAAAACAGTTTCATGTTGATAACTGAGCCACTGAAAATGAGGTTTTTAATGACTAATTTATTTTAGAAAGAGAGACAATGCTATTTATGTCATGTAAATGACTTAGAGAAATAATTCAAATGACATTGGACATTTACAAAATCATTATGATAATGGGAATCTTGAATAACTTGTAAGAGTTCCACAAGTTCCACTGTTATGTTTGGCACGATTATAAATTTCATAACAATCTCTTGATTGTTTCTCTTTCCCTTTTTTTCATGAAATTCATCATATACAGATGCAGTACCAAACCATTAAGATGCAATGTAATTTAAATTATTATACAAAGAAGTAAAATTGTTTGATTTATACCTTTTATCCTTGTAACAGAATTAGATACTGGATTCTTAACCATTAAACCAGGTTCTAGAGCTCTGCCTCTAAAATAGATTGCTCAATTAAAAAGACTTACCTTTCTTACAAGGAATGAAGATCCATTTTTAGAATAATCTGAGTTTTATTCCTGCTGCAGACTTGGGATTCTAAGCAACCACAAAGTGCAACATAGAAACTCCAAGTAAGGATGTTTCTGCTATAATATGTAATATTCAGTTCCAAACATTTATTAACTGGAGAATGACAGTGATCTGAATCTATGCATAGATGACACATCTGGCAGTCTCTGCCAGTCTCTCTCACTCCCCCACCCCCTCAAACAGCAAACCAAAATTCGATCAAACATGTAAAACAAGCAATAAAAGCCTGAACATTTTCAGCCCGAGGAAAAAGGCACAGTGGGAAATTACCTTAAATTCAGTTTCAATGTTGGCTAGTCTGGCCAATTCATTGCTTAGCTCTAGGGCAGTAAGGACAGGGTCTTCACTGGAAAGGGACAAATAAGCAGCACTGGCTAATCCTTTGTAGGCGTTCATTCTGGAGCGAGAGTGGCTAAAGGAGTCTTTCCTCTGCTTCTCGATACATTCATTGCACTTGCAAAAATAGTCGTGCGGCCTCTCGATCCGCGCGCCTTTGAGGAGCAGGATGTGAACGATCTCGTACTCCTGGCAGTGGGCGGCGAGGATGATGGGGGTGATGTCGTGGGAGAAGCGAGTCCCGTCTTCGTCGTAGGCGTAAAAATCGTCGTCTCGGAGCTCCTGCTCCAGGGGGCTGAGCGTGAGGCGCTGCCCCTGCGCGAAGGCCGGGTGGTTCAGGATGGCCTCCACGATGCGCACGTAGCCCTTGCTGATGGCCAGCAGGAGGGCATCCCCCACCCGGGCCAGGTTCTCCTTCTTGAGGAGCAGCTCCGTCACCTCCAGGTGCTCGTTGCCCACAGCCAGCTGGAGGGCGTTCTGCCCCATGTAATCGACGCAGTTGAAGTTCAAGGTTTTGGATTCCTCCAGCATTTTCCGCACCACGGGAATGTTGCCATACTCCGCGGAGTCGAGGAAACGCTCCTCCTCCGCCGTGAGGCTGGTGCCCTTCTCGTTGAACATGTAGGCTGGGCCCCGGATGGCCTGTCTCCGGCCCTTCTCCCGGAGCGTGGTGTGCCTTCGGTGCATGGTTTTGGAATTGCTGTTCCTCAACCTGCAGAAAACCACAAAGGAAGGTTGGTTAAGAGAGTCATAATGTCACATTATCTGAAATAAGGGTAGAAATGTCTCCTAATGATCAGGTCTTGCTTGCTGGCTACTTAAAATCATTTAGGATACATGTAGATGTGCCTTTGACGCATGTTTTTGGAATTGCTGTTCCTCAGCCTGCAGAAAACCCACAAAGGAAGGCTGGTTATGTTCTAAGAGAGTCATAATTTCATGTAACCTGAAGTAAGATTAGAAATGTGTCTTAATGATCAGGTCTTGCTTGCTCTTTATGGTCCGAGCTGGCTACTTAAAATCATTTAGGACACATGTGGGTGTGCCTTCGACGCCTGTGTTTGGAATTGCTGTTCCTCAGCCTGCAGAACACCACAAAGGAAGGTTGGTTGAAAGAGTCATAATTTCACATTATCCAGAATAATGGTAGAAATGTCTCCTAATGATCAGGTCTTGCTTGTTCTTTATGCTCTGAGCTGGCTACTTAAAATCATTTAGGACACATGTGGGTGTGCCTTCGATGCCTGTGTTTGGAATTGCTGTTCCTCAGCCTGCAGAACACCACAAAGGAAGGCTGGTTACATTCTAAGAGAGTCATAATCTCACATGACCTGAAATAATGTCTCGTTATGTTCAGGTCTTCCTTGGTTTTTATGGTCTGAGCCAGCTACTTAAAATCATTTAGGGTACATGTGAAATAAAGGTCAGTTTCTCAAAAACAGACAAGTTCTCCCCTGACTTGTACTTCTAGATTTCAACAAGGATTCTCAGCACATTCTTAACCTGAGAAATAGAAAAAAAATGTGTGAACATATTATTTTCCATTCTTACTGTTTAGAACTTCATTACATGGTATTTAGGAATAATATGCACAACATAATATTTCACTGAATTACTCTTCTTGAGTTTTGTCCTTGACGACATGAGCCCTAAAGAAAGTTAGCAGGACTCTCCTGTCTATAGACCTTGGATCAGGCCAATAAATTACGCTCCATAAAGTTAAAAAGCAGGTTTCTAATTTAAAACCCATCATAACAAGGATAAATATATTGCATATCCTCCTGAGATTCAGCTGGTACAAGCAAACCACCTATTTATTCCCTGCTTTTTTTTCATGCTACATAATACCATTTGTCTGTTTCCTGATCTAGAGCAGTTTAATGAATAATAATTTCTCAGTGAAATATAGTTGGCAGCTACTCCAAATACAGGTGCCCAAATTCAGGGTAGAATCTTGAAAAACGCAGGAATAACTCCTGATTTAGTGTCACATCACTCCCCAGTAAACATCTTTCAGAGAGGTGCTGCAGAAAGACAAAACACAGGTCTCTGAGCACAAACAGAGGGCGGGACTGGAAGGGTCATTGGTTTCCCCACTGCTTATGTGGCTGAAATGCCTTCACTTGAATTTGGTGGGATGGAGACAAACTATTCTTATTCCACCATCTCTGCAACCCCCAAAGAAAGCTGTGCTATGTGCAATTGGGTTCAAGAGTGGGTAAACACTATTTTATAAAAATAACTGAAATCCTAAATCTATCTGTGTCTTTAAAACAGTCACACTTTGCATTCGGTGCTGTCTCAATGTTGCCCTTTTTTTTAAATTTCATTGCAGCAGCATCTCAACAAAGTCACAGTCCCTCTTTTGAGTCCAAGCACGGGGAGTCAATCACCATCCTACGGCCACAGAATGTGGAAGCTGAGTAAAAAGCATAAGAACAACACCTCTTTCATGAAAAGCATTTGCACTCAGCCCAATAGCAAGTCCTAAATCACTTGAGGAAAATCTTCAGGAGCCTCTATGATGCTGTGGACAGATGTAACACATAAGCAGGTGTTAATGCTCAATGGGTGGCAAAGGTTCCTCCTGGCACACTCCATCTGTTCTCCAAGTCAGTTTTGACCTTCAGCCAGTGAAAAGTTCATGTTACTCTAAAAAAATACCACTGAAGTTGGAAAGTGCTGCAGCGAACAATGAGAGGGAACAATGCCAGGAGACAAAGTGGAGCAGATACATTGCCTTCAGTAACAGGTAAGAAGAGAGTAAAGGAATCAGAAAGAACCTTGTGAAACAAAGGGGTATCAGAAACCCAAAATACCTGAAGTGCCAGGACACAGAACTTCTCAGCGTAGCTGTTCTTGTGGAACTAACGTGTACATGTGCATCTATCATTTTAATTCATCACTTTTTCACTGATCTGGAACAGAAGGCCAGTACTGAAGAGTTTCAAACAAATTTTACAGTGAATTTTTGGAATTTACATTAAAATTTAAACCAATCCTAAGAAATCAATTCTGTGACCATACAAGGTTGAAAGAGAGGCTCATAATTAAGAACCTCTCCCCCTCAGCTTTGATGCATCAGCATAACAATCAGCCCAGGTTCCACTGAGAGATAAAGTGCCACACAAATCTTAAAACTAATTCCTTCCAGCGTGGTTTGAAGCTGAAGAAGGAGACAGAGAGGAGGGACACAAGAATAATGCAGGAGACATGTTAAGTGAATGAATTCCCTAGACTGCATGAAGTTTACTACAAGAGAAAACAATAACAGCTTACCATTAACATATCAGACAGGGAGGCAGAGGTCTCCAAAGCAGAAAAATGCCTGGGGTAGAACCGGGGTCCCTTTGAAGTCAATATTACAAATTTCATTGATTTCAGTGGTGTCCAAATTTTGGAAACCTATATGCACACACACACCCCCTTGTCCCCAGCATTAGCTTTCATCTCAGCAGCAATTCCAGTGAGGCCAGGAGGACTAACATGGTTAAAATAAAATATTTAACCATATGCACGAGTGCTTCTCTATCCTGGAGCTCGTGTCCTGAGCTATTCAAGGGAGCATTTATGTTTTAAACCTGCACTCAAGTCTTACTGAGTTCAAGTAAGGACTACACATCCAAATAAACACTTGTGAACAGTGCCTTCGTTGAGTGAGGACTGGCAGTCCCAGAAAGCACATTACACTTTTACAGTCTGGGGATTTCCTGGATGTTAAATTAAATCTCTTCAAATATTAAGCAAAACAATGAGCTGGTGATGGCTTAAGGAATTGTTGCTGGGATCAAGTGGAAACCATTCCAGCTCTGGTAGCTGCTCAGTGGTGACCCAGGGGGTGCAGCAGGATTGCACATGCCTAAATATTTTAGGAGAGTTAACTGCAACAGCTGTCTCAAGCTGGCACTTTTCTGATGTTAAAAAACCATGCAGGGTAAGATATTTGGCAACCATTTATTTGTTGTTGTATTTAAAGGTCAGTACTGGAAACAACTCAGAAATATCTATACTTTTCAACAGTGAGGAACCTGCCTGTATTTTGTCTGATGTCCAAGTACAGCTCTTGATACTTTACTCTTTTTTTCCTAGAAAACCTTTTCTCTTCTGGTATGTTATAAAGGACAACCCAGATAGATGGGACAGATAACCTTATAATCACATCCAAAGTAAACATAAACCCACATAAAATACTCCCATTGACCTAGTTCTAAGATTTTTACCTGAGAAAACAGGTCAAAGTTTGGCCTAGAGCTAATTCACACCTGTTTGTTGTATTTGCAATAACATACCAAAAAAAAAAAAAAGGACCTTCATTTCACTTTCTTCAGTTCAGAGAGAACACTGGTTTCATACACAATTTCTAACAACAGAAATTGCACCAGGAAAAGAGAAAACAGGAAAAGCCAACTTGCCCTCCAAAACCAGAACTATTATCCAACCTTTATCTTGCAATAAATATTCTGCAGGGATGTCCCCACAGCACAGAGTTGTTCTCACTGCCTGCACAGAAGGGCAAGAGCACCATCATTCAGAGGGTTTCACCTCAGATGAATTATGACCCCCCAGCCCTGCTCATCAGCAGAGATCAATATCTCAGCTATCATGCTTTATCATCTTTATAGAGAAGAGATGAATAAAAAATGATACTTTTAACTTGGAATAATTTAATGAGAAATGCTCAGCTATCAAACCCTGGTCCGAAGAAAAGTTATAATTCTCCTTGACCCAAGCACTGAATCATGATAAAAGAAGGAGAAGTGCAAAGAGTAATGTGTGCAGTAGTTGAAGCTCTTGGAAAATGAACCTGACTGTAATGCCATGACTCTACTCAGCACCTTGTTCCACTCTGCTGTTCAGTTATGTGCAGGCAGGTTTAGAACTAATCTTACTTACTGAGTGTGTGTAATGTGCTCTCTTAAAAAAAGTAATTGTAACTTGATTGCGTTTATCTCACCATTTTTATTTAAGGGTGCTTTGCATTGAATTGACTGTGGATTTGCATATTTTATTGAGACAGCTAGTGATCAAACTCATCAGGCACTGCAGTTAAACACTGTGTTTTTCTAGGAAAGAATGCCAAGCATGCAGTGTTGTTGGAGAGAAAATGGTCTGGGAAAAGAAAATTAAGAAACTCTGGGCCTGAGTACTGCTTTCCAGAGCTGAGGGAGCCACAGGATCTCTGGACTCCTGTGGGGAGCGGAGAAGAATAGCAATTTCTGAAAGGTGATTTAGCTCTTAACAAATCTTCCTCTGGGAGCATCTCAGTTTCTAATTAAAGTGACTAAGAGCAGGTCCTTGCAATTTTTTCTGACAGTGCTCGGTGCTGAGACTTCTGAGAAGGGAACAGGAGGTTTGTTCTGAATGTTGTGTCATTGAAAACACTCCAAAGCTGAAAGTCTCCTTCTTTTTTGCAACCACACTCCCTTAACTGGTCTGAGTGACATGTAGGACACAGCAGACATAGGATGGAAGTTGGGCTGCTTCATACTGAGCTTAACCCACAAATGTCCTTTCTCCTTGACCTTCCTTTCCACAGTGCTCCAGACTGTGCCATCCAGGACCTTCTGTTGCCTCTCTGGTCCCACCCAAGACCCTATGAAGGGAAAGGGCAACCACCTGGAGCTCAGGCTTGGAGAGAATATTCAAGCCCAAGTGGCTTAAGAGGCTGAATTGGAGTTTTTACACATGGTTTTGAACCAGAACTTTAAAGGATTGTAGAACAGGCTGAATAGTATCTGCTTGAGTTTTTAAAACCTCTGAAGTCTAAAAGGGTGTTGAAACCAATGGGTGTTAGGAGCTGCAGCAACCCTGGAATTCTCAGGTGATGACAACCTTTCCTTGTCTTAAAGCCTAAGAACTGAGGAGAGCAGCTACAGAGGCAGCTTCAGAAACTTATGCTCTCTGACTACACTTTGGGTTTGCTTTCACTAAGTGGAGAGAGTTTGGCAGGAGTCTCCCTGTGCCCTTTCAATGGCCCTCCTTTGTCCAGAAACTGCAGAAGAAACTTAGGATATGTAACCATTACTGTGCTCTATAAGCAACCGTCAGAGGAGGCTTTGATGAGACGTGTACTCTGTCTTGTTGAAAAGGAAATTTAAGTTTCTGAAAGCCATTTTGGAAGCACAGCTCTTGGCTCCTGCAGAGTCTCAGAAACTGTCAGGTTGACACTTTACTTATTATTTTCCTTTCTCCTCACATCAATACTTCTAAAAAGAATCAGGGCACATAAAGGCTGTAAGACTCCCTGAGGCCTCTTTGGAACTGACACAGCTCTTACACATCAAATGGACCATTTTTCTCTGTTAACCCTTGCTTCCAGACAGAAAACCTGGTCAGAAGGAAGGAAATTGGGTTCTACGAGCAAACAGAAATTGATATAGAGATGAATCAATTTAAAGGAGTAATTTAAACTGTTTAGAGTAAAAATAGCAGGATGTTTCATCTTTTAGTTTAAAAAATTGCAACATGTTTTGAGGTAAACTCCAGACTTCAGGTAAAGAGCACAGACTGAACACAATTGCATCTGTTTATTATCCTATATGCAATAGGCTACTGTGGCATTCCAAATGCTGCACAGGCATGTATTACCAGAGCCTTCTGATACCCTCTTTTTCTCCAATGCCTTAAACAGTTTTCTAAGTCTTACTTTAAGCCAAACTGTTATCTTTTAACACAATATTTTTAACATATTGCTGACTTACAATATATACAGACTCAGTAGCATTTGGGGTGGTTGTCCTGATTAACAGCAGCTTATTCTGAAGTTTTCTGTGCTTTGAAATTCTTAAGTGCTACTTCATTTATTCTTATAATGTGCAAACCACCTATTTAATGCTGTCAGCAACAGAGTCATTCTCATACACGAAGAGTTGTGTACATATCTAGGAACAATTAATAGAATTCTTTAGCCCCATTCAGATATTCATTCACTTGCAGAGTAGTCCTACAAACCAGCTGCAGGAAGTAATATCCCCTCCCCACCATTCCCACAGCTCACATAGATCAAAGAAAATGAGGTTTCAAGGTCAAAATTTGAAAAGAGGTCTCTCTCCTTGTGGAATTATGGGAGCAATCAGCAAAACCACACCTTTTCAAACCCCTTTAAGAAATGGCAGCATGAGAAACATCCAGGAAGACAAAACAGGCCTCTCATCAGAGGATGCCAATCAGTGATAGACACCAACACTGCCTGTCATGAAGCATAAAGTCTGAGGCCAACAGCCTAGAAACATTGAGGGCAGACCACCAGCACCTACATTTTCACATCCTCCCTGATGTCTGTTAGAAAGGAGGTAGCTCTGCCTTGTCATTTGAAAAAAGGAAATGGAATTTGGCTTTCTCCCAGCTACCTTTCAGAAAAAAAATCAACTGCTTTTCAGTGGTCTCATTCTTCTCCTTCTTATAAATCAAGCATCAGCATTTTATTTCCCATCCCAAAACAGTGTCATGCACTAATGCAAGACTTTTATAGCAGAAGGGACTGAAAAATAACCACCTTTGTTCTTGTATTCAAATTCTCATGTTATAATATATGTAGTGTTTTGGTTTTTTCCTTCCTTCCTTCTTTCTCCTTAATACATGATTGTGAAAATGTCTGATTATTACAAATGTATCACAGAACACACGAGATAGGTGTATCAAAATTATGGCTATTTTTACATTCTCTGCCATTGTTCATTCATTATTATGCTTGACCATGAAACGAACTGTGAGGACATGAATGAGTTCTACTTTTCTTTTTTTCATCTGGCTTTGGGAACCGGGAACAATTCATCCTCACTGTTGAAGCACTTCTAAACTCAGGCTTGGATCATACTGAGAACACAACAGAGAAATACCTGTTCATTCATAAATTTTTACTAGTGATGAGAGCAAGGAGAAATATCTCTAACTGTTCAAGCAGGGGGCAGTGTAATGCTGATTTTCAACAAGCAGTTCTACTAAAAAGAGAGAGGAAAGCTCTGAAAAGAACTAGTTATCTTGGTTCTGGCTGTATTTTATTTTCCGTATTGATGTACTCTTTTCAATGCTCACTTCTCATCATTATCTCAAGACAAGAAACAACGTGGAGAGAAAGACTCCTGACAACTGTTAGACCCGGCAAGCTGCAACAGGCATGGTACAGTGTCCCATATTTACACTTCTCATTTTTCCTCATTTCCGAAAAAACAAACCTTTAAAAATTTCACCCAGCTGTTAAAGGAGACAACAACGTGGCTCCAAACCATGTGGCTGGTGAGAAACCACAAGCCCTCCCGGTCACACTGAGCCCGAGCACGTTTGCACACATTCCGAGGGTGAGAAGCCAACACGACCTCACACGCAGCCACCGGCATCGCTCACACCACGCTCAGGCTCGGAGGGCACCGAGCGGCACCGAGACATCTCTAACCCCCACAAAACTTCCCAGTGACGGGCATTGGAGCCAGGGCACTTCTCGGAGGAGATGTTCACAGGGGCAGCACTTACATGTGCGCGTCGGGCCGGCTCCGGTCAGTGCGGGGGCGCGGCGCGGGCGCGGCCGCCCATGGCCCGCGGTGCTGGGGGACCACCGAACCTCCTCTGTCCGGGAGATGAACCTCCCCTGTCCGCGGGGCTGGGGGACCACCGAGCCTCCTCTGTCCGGGAGATGAACCTCCCCTGTCCGCGGGGCTGGGGGACCACCGAACCTCCTCTGTCCTGGAGCTGACCCTCCGCTGTCCGCGGTGCTGAACCTCCTCTGTCCTGGAGCTGACCCTCTGCTGTCCGCGGTCCTGAACCTCCTCTCTCCGGTTGCTGAGCCCCCGCGGTCCGGGTGCTGAGCCCCGGCGGTGCTGAGCCCCCGCGGTCCGGGTGCTGAGCCCCGGCGGTGCTGAGCCTCCGCGGTCCGGGTGCTGAGCCCCGCTCAGCGGGGCCGGACGGGGCGGGCGGTGCCCGCGGTGCCGCAGCCGCCGCCGGCGCGCTCCAGGTGGTGCCTCATCCTTGTTCCCTCTGCCCGGGCACAGCTCCCCGGGAGCGCCCGGGATCCGCTCGCTGGAGGAAGAGCCGGCTGCGAGTCTGGCATGTGAGTTGCGTTGTCCTGCCCTTCTTCCCTCCCCCTCTTCCCACGCCGTTGTCCTCCTGTTGGTGTGGATTCGATGTGGTTTCAGCCGGAGCTGGAGGAGTGCCCTGAGCCCTCCCAGGGGCTGCCCCGGAGCAGGCGTGGCAGGAGAGCTTTCCCGGGGAGGGCAGGGCTGCCTCAGGCTGCCCCGAGGGCGGGGGGTCCGCTGGGGGCTCCCCCCCTCACACACCCCACTCCTGCCTCATCTGGCTGTGCCCCCCTCCGCTGGGAGTGCTCAGAGCTGCTTCTCCCCATCTGCTGTGCCCAGGTTCATTTTATTCCTTACCTAGGAGATCTTGTCTCCTAGGAGGTGGCAGAGAAGGGGTGTGTGCATCTGTGTGTGCCAGGAGTGGAGGGAGAGGGAGAACGAAGCCAACATGCAAAATAATCAGTCAATGCAATCAATCCCCTCCCTCGCATGATAAAGGAGAGCTGTCAGAGAAAAAACTTCAAACTGCATCCAGGAGCACCAGTGCACCATCCTGCACTCTATTCCATGTGGAAAGAGCAGGTGTTCTTCCCAGGACCACTGCCCAGGATGCTCCCACTGCCTCCCACACAGCTGCATTCCCACAGGGCTCTCCAAGCCCATGACCTTCCCTGTCCTTCCCCATCAGTGCAGCTCCCCTGCCCCCTGCTCTGCCTTAGCTGGATGCAGATTCCTCCCCTCACCACACACCCCATTGCAGTTACCAAACAATGCCATCCCGCCTCACCTGTCATGTCTCTGGGAGTGTAATCCTGGAGGAAACCCTCTGCTTGGAGAGGTGACTGTGGCAGGCAGTGCAGGGCTCTCTGAACAGCACACACAAGAGGATGGCAGGATGTTGATTTGCCCCAAGTTCTTCTCCACCCCCTCACAGCACTGGCTGAACTGAGAGCACTGATGAAGAGGAGTTTTTTCCCCATTTTTTCAGTCTCAACCTGTGAGGATGAGATTTTCTCAATCAGCTGAGGGTGTTATTTCATGGAAACACCTCAGGGCACTGACCATTTAGCAAGGACCACTGAGAGCTTGCTGTGGCTGCTGTAGTGGCACCGTAAAAGCATCCCAGACCATGCCTTTCAGAAACCTTTAAAGACAGCTGATGAAGAACTTGCATCCCACATCCTTGAACAATTAAGTTACTTTCAGCAGACTGAGCTGTGCTTACAATTGTGAGGAGGGTAAGTCTTTTACCACAAAGAGATTTTGTCCTAAATAAGGGGGAGAGTGTATTAACCTCTAACTACATGGGCAGCACCCACACCTGCAGCATTCACTGCACTGTTTTGACTCTGTCCTCTCAAATGCACTGATTCCTTTGTTCTTGTCCCCATTTAGAGCTTCTTGGAGCTCACTGAGAAATTCCTGAGGGCCCATCTCTGTAAATATATGAGAAGGATGTGGCTGTTACCAGGCTCAGGGGAGAACAGCATTCTGTGGGGAGAGACAACCTGTGAAGATTAAAAAAAAAAAAAAGAAAAGAAAAGAAAAGAAGAAAGAGACTCCACAGCTACATACTCACTAATGCTGTTGAGATAAACTCAAAATGATAAGTTGCTGCAAAAACACAAATCTCTGCTTTAGGTACCTGACACAGCTTGGGGTAGAAGCAACTTGGACAATTCTTTCTCTAAGCAAAAAAAAAATAACCTTCATAGTATCACGGTGTTTGTCTGTGTGCTGGTTTTGCCTGGGGTAGAGTAAATTTTCTTCAGAGTATGGAAAATGAAAGTTTTGGATTTGGGCTGGAAATTGTGGATAACTCAGGAATGTTTTTGTTGCCAATGAGCACTTACAGAGTCCAAGCTTTTTCTGCTTCTCATCCCACCCCACCAGTGAGGAGGTTGAGGGGCATGAGGAGCTTGGAGGGGGCACAGCCAGGACAGGTGACCCCAAGGGACATTCCATACCCTGTGACATCATTCTCAGCAAATAAAGCTGGGAGGGAAAAGGGGGGATGTTCAGAGTGATGTCACTTGTCTTCCAAAGCCAGCATTATATGTGATGGGCTCTGCTTTCCTGGTGGAGCACCTGCCTGTCCATGGGGTGTGGTGAATGAATTCCCTTTTTTTGGGATGCTTGCATGTGTGGCTCTTGCTTATTGAACTGTCTTTATATCCAGCCATGAGTTTTCTTACTTTTATCCCTCTGATTCTCTCCCCCATCCCACTGGAAGGCAGTGAGGGAGTGGCTGTGTGGGATGAGTTTTTGCCCAGGGTTAAACCATGGCTGTCTCCCTCTTTCCCCCTTCAGGGTTCTTTTTTCTGCCATTGACTTATCTGTCACCATGACAGACTATTGAAGAATCAAATGTGTTTGCATGCTCTTGCATTAAAAGTATTCATTTATATTTCCTTTTCAAGGCTTGGGAATAATTGCAAAAGGTCCACCTATTAACTTTTTTTTTTAATAGATGGGAAATAGAAATTAGACAAAACCAACCTTTTTAAATTTATCTTATTAAATACAGAGTTTTGCCAGGTTTTCTGAAAAATATTCATTTTAGGATTGAGCATGGGATGGATTTGACTAAACATATGTCATCTTTCTCCTTCATGTATCCTGAAAAATATTCAAGTATGGGATCAATGTACTGCATTGCTGCTCCATGTGTTTGTAAAGCTGCAATTATGTCTCATCCTTTCTAGGTGTAACTTCACTGGAAAATATTCATCACTTATATTTTTATGCACATTTTTTCCCTCCTTAAAAAAAAAAAAGGTAAAAACCCCCAAACTCAAGGCACAGCAATGCCCAGCACTCAGTTATCAGGAGGACCTTCCTAGTAATCTTAATAATCAGCAGTTTACCCACTCCATAAATCTGCAGCTGATAAAAGACTGACAGCACTCCCAGTTGCAATTAATTATGCCAGATTAACATGTGGGAAGCAAAAAAAAAGTGGGAGGGGAAAAAGGGGACTGAGAAAGTCTGTTATTATCAATGCCCATTAAAAGTATTCAAAGTATTGTTGTAGGTTTCTGGTCATACATCTCAGAATTAGTGGAAACCCACAACTCCAGAACCAAGAAATCCTACACTTGGTTTTCTTAAAAGATTTTTAGCAGAAGGTTCTGAACTTCTGAACTCCTGTGAGTTGCTTTTCATCTTGATTAACTTTGCATTTTGCTATTGCAACAGTTTCATGTGAAAAGCGTTTGCTGAGAAATCTATTTCTAATATTACACAGAACAAAAGTCTTGTTGAATAAAAAATTATAGAAAACTTGTGGTTTTTTTCCTGCCAATCATCAACTATTTGCACTGGTGTAGAGTGTACCAAAAATGGTCTTGCCTGGCTGGGGGCAAGAACAATTCTTGTATGAAAGAATCGAGTTGTAATGGCTTAAACTCACCTGTACTTTTAAATTAAACAAACCAGAGAGTAACTGTTGCATCCTACCAAAACCAAGCAGGGATGTATTTCTCTGCAGGAGTGAAAATACGGAAACAATTAAGGAATTTTAGAAGAAAATGGTATAATTCTGTCATGACATGCAGTGAGTGAAATATTGAGACTTCAGATTTCTCTCAAGGTTTGTAGCTTTGAAAGCTTTTCAGTCCTTACTGAGCTCAGTGTTCTTTACCCTCAAATATTATTGTATTCTCAGACGTAGTGCAGGAGGAGAATTGCTAGAGAATACCTTAACATATTCATGTTAGGTAAAGGCCTGTTTTTGTTTGCTCAGGTCGGATGTTTCAGACAGTTCTACCTGTGCCACCACAAAAAGACTGAAGAAAGATCTTTTTTTTAGGGGGGGGAGATAAAATGAACAGGAAGAAAAAGACTCAGAAATCATGGTATTAAACTTCTGATTGATTTTAGGAGTAGTTAATTGTCCACTTAATCAGCAGAGTCATCTCTCCTGTCTCAATCATTTCCACCCCTTTATTGCTGTCACAAGCAGACTGAATGAGAAGACAAGTGGAAGATCAATTATTTGTTGGAAGAATTTTTGCTTCTATTGATAAACATTTTGCCATCACAAAACCATTTTGCCCAGGGACTGTTTCATTTACTCACTGATAAACGTGGCTTGATCCTTCCTTCAAACACACACTTGTGTTAAGCACCAACTTTTCCAATCAACCATTTCAGCTAAAACACAAAAAATAAAGAAAAAAGCATTAAGAGTACAAGAAAGCTTGGTAGGGTTCCATCTTTTTGGCCTTTTTTTTTTTTTCACTGCTCCTGTTCCCCAGACCTGAAACAACAACCAAAGGACCAGGAGAGAAGCAGCAGGAGAAGGGTGGGGAAGGAGGAAGGGCTCAACCTGGTCAGGATTTATAACTCATTAAAGACACGGGCAACCAAAACCATATTTAATTTCCCACCAAGGCCACACAGAAACAGCTGTACTGACATCCTAACTCCTGATATCCCACTGGATAGCAGCACATAGGCCTATCTGGCATCATCTTTAAAAATTCAAGAAGATAATTATGACACATATAATATGTATTTCTAATTATTTCTGGGATAGGACCCACCTGAACCAGCTTTGACCCAGGGATGAAAGGCAAAAAATTGCTTTGCATCTTTATAATACTTTTCCCATCTCATAAATTTTCCATTCTCCAGAACCTATTGGCTGGGATGACTGGCAGCTTCCAAGGGTATCTATGAATAGTAACCCTTTTGGCTGTACTATCTCATATCCTTCCATATAAAAAAAGTGAAATAAATGTCAAAGTGTCCTCACATTAGAAAACATAATAAGCAGAATACATTTTTATTACTGACTCTCTGTCTACCTCTCAACCTTTATATTTAAGACACTTTTATTGACTTCAGTGCCTTTTTTTGCACTTTAAACATCTTCTTTTCCTGACCTAACTACTTCAGGGTAACTTTACTAAGACCAGCAGCAACCTACCCCCAGCAAAGGAAAATCTGATCATAAAAAAGTGATATCCCCTCAGGTGAGAGAAGCAGCAGGGGAACAGAAGTGACAGGTTGATTTAAGATACTAACAGCAGTAGGATTGGTCTGACAAGTGCTTATTTCCCTTAACCCATTTTATTTCAAGAACAATTTATATGATAATCAGATCTGGTGCAATTTTTTTCTCATGAAAAGTACATGATCCTTACATGTGAAAAAAAAATTAAATAGAAGTCTTCTGTTAGTAAATTGGATGGTTAACACTCGAAGCAGAAGAAACTCTGGAATACAAGTAAACTTTTCTGA